GTCCTTGAAGAAAAATTCTAAAAAATTTTTTACCATTGGCAGTCCTTGAAAAAATATTCTTATAAAATTTTAGACCTCTGGAAGAAATTAACAAAAATATCAAAATCTACTCATCTGTGGGTCCTTCAAAAAATATTCTGACAGAACTTTCGTTCCATAAGCCGAGCTTAGAAAAGATTTCCAGGCGCGTCGGACCATTTTGAAAGACCAATTCGGCAATGTTGTCTTCGACTTGATCTTTCCAACGTATTCTCCATCCATCAGCTAGTTTGCTTTTATATGTTCCATTTATGTTCACTTTTGCGTCTCGTATGACCTTTTCCAGCAGGATGTTAAAAAGGTCACACGACAAACTGTCACCTTGTCTGGATCCTCGTTCGATATTAAAGGGCTCCGAGAGGTCCTTTCCGACTTTAACTGCTGATCTTGTGCCAGTTAAAGTTATCCTCCATAGCCGAATTAATTTTTCAGGAATGTCAAACGCAGACATGGCCTTATACACCTCTGAACGGATAGGGCTGTCGAATGCGGCTTTAAAGTCGACGAATAGGTGGAATGTGCCGATGTGTTTTTCGTGGGGTTTTTTTTCCAGGATTTGGCGCAGAGTGAAAATCTGGTCAATGGTGGATTTGCCAGGTCTGAAGCCGCACTGGTATGGTCTAATAATGTCATCGACCATTGGCTTCAGTAGTTCACACAACACGATGGATAGCACTTTGTATGCGATGTGTAGGAGACTTATTCCTCTATTGTTGGCACATATCGTCTTGTCTCCTTTTTTGTGCACGGGACACAGGATGATGAGGTTCCAATCATTGGGCATGCATTCTTCTAGCCAAATTGTACTAATCAGCTGGTGCATGCTCCTTACCAGCATTTGACCTAGCTCGGCTTGTAACCCATCGGCACCTGCTGCTTTATTATTCTTCAGACGATTGATTGCTATTCTGACTTTATCTTGGTTAGGTGGTATACACTCTATACAGTCATCTATTATTGTTCTTCACTGCTACTATTTGATACCAAAAGTTTTTCAAAATGCTCCTTCCAGATCCCTAGCACGCTGTCTGTATCTGTCACCAGGTTTTCTTCTTTATGTGCCTGCACCAAAGTCTTCGGATTGGTGTTTTACCCGTTGGTAGAATTTTCGGACTTCATTCTGACTCTTGTACATCTCGATTTGCCACCCCATTTCTAGGTTATTTCATTGACAGTGACATATTCATGATCATCATGTCAAAAAAATATTTCCCATGTAGTGAAATACTCTCATGTGGTTCTTATCACTACAATTCTGTCATTTATGGGTACATTCAATTAATTAATTAGCTACTGGTAGTCGGCGAGATACCACTACTACCACCAGCAATGAAGCATGGCATATAAATGGTTGCCCATAATAATTAGTAATTATATAACACACATTAATCTTTAATTGATGTCGATGACGACAAATTCACACCTTCCACCACCCGTGACCTACAAATTTCATTTGCAATTGAACTTCAGCTAACTGCCGGCAGAAAACTGCACAGGCATTTAAAATGCACTTTATTTGATTTCTGATAATGATATGTTCGGATTTTATTTAGTTTTTTTGCTTTTGAATTCTTTATTATTGTTTTTTTGTTAGAAGTAGGAATTATTTGTGGTGTTGAGACGGAGGGAGGGTAAGGATTATGGTAAGTATTAAAAAATAAAACCAAAGTGGGTTATCAGTTTTATTGTTCTATTTTTTCAATACATTCGTAGGTTTTTGTTGTGTTTAGAAAGGTTGTTTTTATGAAAAAAATTTTAAATCAAAGGAATGGAATTGATTTGAATACAATAATGACCTTGGATAGGAGGTTTAGATTGTGGGAAATTTTAGAAATATATACAATATATGTATGTAAATAATTATCATACACAATCATTGGAATTAGAACAAAATAATACAGGGTGGGTTAAATAACTGCAACAAAGTCAAACGCGAAAAATTTCAGAAATAACATCAAATTTTAGAAGAAATTTAGATTTGTTGCAATTGATCATCTTTGGCACGAATTATGGCCTTCAAACGGCCAATGAAACCGTTACACGCTGCCCAAATATTACTCTGTAGGATTTTGGCCCCCGACTGATGCGATCATTGAAATTCTTCCGCTTCAATCATTGTGAACCCATCGCCATAAGGATTATGATCTTTATTGGCAATGCATTTTCCTGAACCAATTGGAAAGGGTGACAAAATATCCTTTTCTTCTCGCCATATCGCATAAAGCATTGCCTTGTGCAGAAGACTTAAAAAGGTTATCTATCGAACGTTTCATCCATTATCTTGGGGGAGTTCGTGATCGAAATTAGTTCTTCATCGATTATTATGTTCAGCGAGAGCTTCATTTCAGCTGTCGATGTGGTGAACAGAGTGGCTGATGATTTAATGACGGATATTTTCATACTCCTCAGATGGATGACATTTACAAGATGATATATGTAGAACCTGTTTAATATCACAAAAATGTCATCAATAATAGGACCCGACACCATGAAAGTACAATCATCCGCATACATTACGAGTTCTGTGTCGTCCGATGGTTGTGGAATTTCAGAAACTATTCAAGGCCGGTGGTCAAACGCTGATCAGGAGCATGCATCAGCTGATTAGTACAATTTGCCTAGAGGAATGTATGCCCAATGATGGGAACCTCAGTATCCTGTGTCTCGTGCACAAAAAAGAAGACAAGGCGTTAAGTTCCAACTAGAGAGGAATTAGTCTCCTTCTCATATCACATATAAAATGCTACCCAGCGTACTGTGCGAACGACTAAAGCTAATGGTCAATGAAATTATTGGACCATACCCATGCGGCTTCAGACCCGCAAATCCAACATAGACCAGATTTACACTCTGCGCCAAATCCTGGAAAAGATCCACAAAAACACATTCGTCGAGTATAAATCGAATTCAACAGCCCTATCCGTTCAGAGGTGTTTAAAGCCTTATCTGCGTTCTAAATTCCTGTAAAATTAATACTGCTATGCAGGATAACTTTAATTGGCGCAATATCAACAGTTAAAGTCGGAGAGGAACTATCGGAACCCTTTAATGCCGAACGAGTATTCAGACAAGGCGATAGCAGTTGCTACTATGGTAAACAGTTTAGAAACAAGGCTACCTTCCGCCAGACCAAACTCCCACTCTACAAGTCGTTGCTACTAACCGTGCTGTTATATGGGTCTGGAGCATGGGACCTTACTTACGCAGGCATATGAGGCATCTCTTGGAGTGTTTGAGAGGAAAATTCTCCAAAAGATCTATGGGCCGATATGCTTTTACGTTAAATATAGCCGTCAAACGAACCATGAGTTGTACCATCTATTCTCGGACATCGTCATGGTCAAACGGATCGATCGAGCTGCAGCGGCTACATTGGCTAGGTCTCGTTGTGAGAATGGATGAGGATGGCCAAGCACAAAAGGCATATAAAAGCGAGTCTACAGATAGCCCATCCAGAAGGGGAAGCCCACGAATTAGATGGAAAGATCAAGTGAAAGAGAACATTTCGAAACATGACCATTCAAATTGGAAGAGCTGCGGGCAACACCGACACCTCTGGAAATCTTTTTTTAAGCTTGGCTTTGAAACAAATGTTCTGTCACAAGCCTGCTATGAAGGTAAAGTAAGAGGTTTAACAATTCCGGAGATGTCACCGCTCTTTGGGGAACTTCCTTTTTCACTCTAAGGACTTTGGACTTCCTGTTTCTGTACATTTTTGACGCCATCAAATGTGGACGCCAACGTTTCAAACAAGGCCGGAGGTTTGTCTTGTCTATGTCCGCGAACAGCTTGGCGTGGTTGACGGTACCAAAGGCTTTTTGGTCAAGTGCTGTAAAAATAGTTTTATGGTATGTTGTCCTATCATGGTTTACTCTTCGTCTTTTATGTGTGTAGATAGTGTAGTTCTGATTACAGTATCTGAGGTAAAGACATATTGATTGCAAAAATATGATAATCGGTCCTCTCCGATACTATTCTATTTAAAAGTCCAATCGAAAAGTAAATCCCTGGCCAAAATCCAACCACCCATAGAAACTATTTTATTTAATTATTTTTAGCGTAGTCGGTGTTGGAATCGGTCTATAGGAGAAAGTCTTAAATCGTCACCCACAATCAAAAAAACGGAGGAAATCAATATGAGGATCTTAGTGGAATTTTGGAAGACCATATCTAAAGAAGTGTGGACAACATGAAAAATAAGTACATTTATATAATTAGAATTTCATCGGATTAATTTTAATATGCATGAGGTAAAATCTCAACGAAAATTTGGAGGTGCATGTCAGGAAATATGGATTTCGACAAAATTAAATCGTTGAAAACACAGTGTCCAGACCGTGCTGTTTTGAAACTACTTAAAAAGAGATTATGTAGCCGTAGCCAGCAGCGTTGACATCGTTTCATAGAGGAAAGGTCTTTATAAATATCAATTGATCTGTATAGACCACAAAGGTTTTTATATATTCCAATTCATCGGTATAGATCAACAGAGACCCTAAGCTAAAAATGTTCCACAACTTCTTTATGGTACCTCGCGCAGATCTAAGCATTCACTGAATGAAGCAGCAATAATCCGACTTTAGAAGCAAAAAAAAAACGACAATAAAAAATATTCAACTATTCAAAGTATTTTCAATGAAAAAGGAAATACTACCGACCACAACAATAGAGGCCATAAAATGAATAATAAAGACAAAGAAGAAAAAAATAATAAAAACACAAACGCCCAAGCAGTGTCGATGATAAGAAAGAAATGTGACAATTTAACATTGGAGGAGAATTGGAGCAATAATAGGGGCAGCAAACAAAAAGACGCAATAGTTTTTAGGCAACAACAACAAAAAACTAGCCCCTTATAAAAAATAAAAGATTATTTTTTTTTTGTTGTTATTTTAATAATCCTAATAGAAAACACACACTCACGTATATACTAACTTATATTGCATACAATTTCCACTTACCGCCGTTTTAAACTCCATATTGAGCAGATGCCACCAGGCATCTGAAAAAATATCACCATAATCCTGGGCCGTTGTTCGTATCACACCAATAATATCCATTTTGGCAATGAATTTTTGTAGTTGTTGCTGCTGATGCTGCTATTCCGTCCAATAAAGACGTAAGAATTGTAATTTCCTATTTGTTTCCTTTTTATGTCTAAATTTAAATTATGATAATAACTATTTTGGCAAATTCATTCAAAAGAAATTTTGTTGTGGCAGCACCCCCATTGCCAACAAAAAGATTGAGAACACAGTTCAGCTGTCGTTGTTATTTTTAATGAGAGAGAGAGAGATACAGAGCGGCAAGCAATCAAATGTTAAGTCCGTTTATTTGTTTGTTTTCTTTTTTCCCGTTGTTTTTCTTTGGCAAGACGGAGGGGTGGTGGGTTGTTCTTTTTTTTTTTGTACTTCTTTTTCTTGATGTTGTGGGGGTGGAAAAAATATAGAAAACTTGTCAAACAATGACCAAATGACAATTGACTAAATGTCCGGTAAAATTAAAAACAGCTGAGCAGCACTATGAACGAACTGTGAGCGGGAGAGACAGAGAAAAAGCGCATAAACAACAACACTTTGTCACAACAAAACAAAAAGCAGCTGGTTGATTTCGTGTGTTGTTTTCTTTTTTCTTAACACGAAAACGCACACACACGAGCACACACTTTGACACAGCGTTTTTTTTTCTCTCTATGTATGAGGGAGGAAGAGAACCCCACTAAACAGCAGCAGTGAGCCAACAAGAATACCAACAACAAACCAATTTGATTTGAACAATGTTTTTTGCAAAGAATATTTTGTTTGGTCTTTGCTGTTGTTGTTGCTGATACTGCTGATGGTTGAGTTTTTTTTTCCGCAAAGAATTGAAATGACCCGTGATATACACACGCACATACGTATGTTATACAAGTCAAATGTAAATTTACTTAAAAAAATTATTAAGTGTTATAGGGCACCACACTTCACATTAAAAAAAATACACATGACTTCTTTTATAATAAAAACAACAAACTTATTCTTTACTTTTTCTTTTGCCAATCACATTCGTCTGTTTGTTGCAATAATCATATCGAATTTTCACAGACTTCACCACTTCTTTATCAGAAATCACAAAATTCTAGATTTTTTTATTGCTCTACTTTTTCTTTCTTTATAGCCGGTAGCCAACTAATTCGCTACTTCATTTATTCTTTTCATTAATTGATCATTGACTTAGTAATGCTTTTCATTTATTTTCAATTATTTTGTTGCACTTTTAATAGAATATTTTTTTTATGTTTTTTCATTTCTTTCTTTTTTTCTCGTCAAAGAAAAGTTTCCGCTTTGCGCGGCGTTCTGCTACCGTTCGTTTCAAGATTTTTTCGCCTAATGACAAGTCAAATGAAAATATTCTAGTAAGAATGGTGGGGGAATGAAAGAAATGGCAATAGTGCTTCTTTTTGTTCGCGCATACCATTCACGATGAAGTAATAACACAAACGGAGTTGTGTCACAGGGTTGCATTTTGTGATATGACAAATCTTGCGAATTTCGGAAATTCACTATCAATTCAATCAGTGTTACCGCTGGGAATTTTAAAAAAAGTTGCACCAAAAGTCATTCGCTTGAATATGTCGCCACTGAGCTTAGCGGAAAACATAATCGATAATTAATTTATCGTTGTAATAGCTACAAAGCCGATTATTCGAAAGTCGATCTATAGAAGACTATTTTGTAGTCTCGCCTATTGCAAAAAACATAAAATTCAACTACATTTTTTTGCAAAGAAAAAACAACAAAAATTTCCGTCAATACAAGTGAAATTGGCAAGCAAACAAATCGAAATAAAGGGTCGGAAAAAATCATAATATTACTCCGAAAGACAACACCCAAAAAAAGCAAACAATCCCAACAGTTCTTGCATTGCTTTTTGGCTTTAGGTGAGAGAGAAAACACAGGAAGCCTTTTTTGTTTTTTAAATATGAATCCTTGTGCCGTGCCCACCCAAAGAACCGATGACGATGGTGATGATAGATGGCTGAGGTAAGGACACTTTTAATATTAAAAATTCGTTTTTAAGTTGTTTTTCTCTTTATGCCCTTCCCCTTCTTAGCATACACAAACGTTTCATTTCCGAGTGCCGTGAAAAAGACCCTGACGTCATTTTCATTGGCGATTGTATACTCGAAACGCTGCAGGATACGGAAACATGGCATCATTATTTCGCCCCAATGCATAGCCTTAATTTTAGTATACGTGGCGATCGTTGTGAAAATGTACTGTGGCGCATCGAAAACGGTGAATTGGATAATGTCAAGCCAAAAATCGTTGTCCTCCATGTTGGCACAAATAATGTCGACAGCAAAGCAGAAGAGATAGCCGATGGTATTTATGAAATTGTACAAAGAATACGTTCGAGATTACCGGATACATATATTGTATTGCCTGTGAGTAGAAAAAAAGAGACTTAAAAAAGGGGAATATTTTTTATAAAGAAAATCACAGGATGGGGAATCTGAGGATAACTATATAGAATAAGAGGATGGACTTTATTGTTGTGTCTCGGACACTATGTTAAATAGTCCTCAATATATCGGCCCAAAATATTAGAAGACAAGGGTTTTGAAAAAATTTTTGTCTATGTCAGTATTTAACTTTGTCAACAGATATGATGCGGATTGATTCGGATTAAGATCCCTTAAAGTTCTCCAGATGTTGTAACATTTATAAATGATTTTCTGAAAATCTGTCCGTCTATAGAATACCACTTTTGATATCTTTAGTGTGTAGAAGACCTCTTTGGAAGGTCTTCTATATATAGAAGATCTCCTTAAAAGGTCTTCTGTTTATAGAAGACCTCCTTAGAAAGTCTTCTGTTTATAGCAGACCTCCTTAGAAGGTGTTCTGTTTATTGCAGACCTCCTTTGAAGGTCTTCTGTTTATAGAAGACCTCCTTAGAAGGTCTTCTGTTTATAGAAGACTTCCTTAGAAGGTCTTCTGTTTATATAAGACTTCCTTAGAAGGTCTTCTGTTTATAGAAGATTATAAAAGATCTCCTTTGGAGATCTTCTATTTATAGAATTTATAGAAAGTCTTCTGTTTATAGAAGGCCTCTTTAAAAGGTCTTCTGCCTATAAAAGACCTCTTTTGAAAGTCTTCTATTTATTGAAGAAAGTTTGTAGAAAACCTCCTTAGAAGGTCTTATATTTATAGATCACCCTAGGAGGTCTTCGGTCTATAGTATACCTCCTTTGAAGGTCTTCTATTTATAGAAGACCTAATTAGATGGTCTTCTTTTTATATAATACCACCATAGAAGGTCTTCCGATTATAGAAGACCTCTTTAAAAGGTCTTATGAAGGTCTCCTGTTTATGGAAGTCCTCCTTAGTAGGTCTTCTGATTATAGAAGACCTTTTTAGAAGTTCTTCCGATTATATAAGACCTCGTTTGAAGGGTTTCTATCAAAACATTCCTCATTAAAAGACCTTTAAAATGCCTTGGCGATTATTCTTATCATAATTTATCTCCAATTATTTCCATTATTTAATTATTTGTTTTCATTTTCCATTCCAGTCTCTTCTACCTCGTGGCCATCAAGCAAATAAATTACGTGATAAAAATGCTCAAGTCAATAGTTTGGTTAAGGAGAAAGTTGTCGGACTTAATCGTGTACAAACAGTGGATATAACAAAGGGACTTGTACAGACGGACAATTCCATTAGTCATCATGATATGTTCGATTATAAGAATCTAACCAATACAGGGGCGAAGAAGGTCTTTGAACCGGTACATGATCTCTTGTCGCAAATCTTAAATGAAAATGAACAGGAACGTGATCTCACACCATCGGAATAGTAGAGTGTTAATGGCAAAAATGAAGCAGCAAAACAAAATATGAATGAAAATAGAAAACAACAAATTTCCATGCAGCAAAAAAGAATACAAAACAAACACATCAAGCAGCAGCAATGAAAGCAACAACTAAAAATTACTTTCACTTATACAACACATATATACACAAACACAATTACATATACTCTATTATTTTGTTTTATATTTAATATAATTAATACATTTTTCCCTAATGGCCCCAACCCAAAAAGAAACAAAAAAAATCGCGTTTGCACCCTACCAAGTTTCCTTATAATTTCTTAAATTTTGCTTTGCAAAAAGAAAAAAATCATAAAATTTTATATATATTTAAGACAACCTTTCAAAATTCCATATTTTTTAATTATCTCATGCATTTCTTTTTCTTCTTCTCTTGTAGACTTTTATAAATACATACGTATAATACATATTTTTTTACAAATACTGAAACAAAGTCTGTTTTTTAGCCTCTAATTAATTATGGTAGCTTAAGTTTAAATAAAAAAAACATGAACACACTCACACACACAATTGTATGTATTTCTTTAAAACAAAAATGTGAATTTTATATATATAAATTTCGAATTTAAAACAAAAAACACAACAAGTATTTTCATTTTTTTAAGGCACACGCACTCTAATAAGTTATTTAAATAATTTTGTTTACTTTTGCTTAAACATTTTTTTTTTTAAATATTGAAAACCAAAATACACATTTTCTAAAGTTTTTTTGCTCCATCCCCTCACTCCAAACGACATCAAAAACAATTTCTCTTATAGATGAGCAATTAATTAATTAGATTACGAAAATTAAAAATAAATATAATTTTTTTATTGCAAGAAAAGAAAAAATTAAATTTAATGATTTTTTTATTTGAAGGAGCCATTCAGGAGATTCACTGGAGAATAGGAATGTTTTAAAGATAAGAAGAAGGCTTTCTAAAAGAATTATCCAGAGTAAAGTGATTGACAGACTGATTTAACGATTCATCAACGCCCAGACGACTGAAGCTAGAATCTTAAAATGTTGGGTTAGGGTCACTCTTGGTTCAAAGGTGGGTTTATGGAAATTCGTACTAGAACGGTACGAAAAGTACTAAATGTGATACCATTTGTATTTGGCGAACCGCTAGAGATAGAACTCTTAAATTTTAAATGAGGGTCACTGATGGAGTGTAGGATCTGATGTACCAAATGGTTTTTGAAAATTCGAACTATCCGAAAAGTACGAAAATGTACTAAATTTGGTACAATTTTGTAGCATGTGAATGGATAGCGTTAAAAACTTGAAATTTGGCATGGGATATGTATGTAGTTTTGGAAATTTTTTACTGATGTATACGAAAAGTACTAAATCGTATTATAATTGTTACAATTTGGGTCAGCCGATAGAGCGGAAACAATGAAATTTAAAGTCAGGAGCACTGTAGGGGTGTACGATTGGAGTCAAGACACAGTTTAAGACATTATTACTTATGGGTACTAAATTTGGTACATTGTAAATTTTAAAGGAATCAATAGAGCTAGAATCATGAAGTTTGGAGTACGGATCACTGTTGGTGTGTAGGAATTTTTAAAAATTTTAACTAATGTGTACTAAATTTGGTACAGATTGCATTGTGATTGAACCGATAGAGTTGAAATCTTGAAACTTTGATTTAGCATCACTGTGGGGGTGAAGGTTTGGGGTATGTAGGAAGTTTTGGAAGTTCGTGCTACTGTGTACTAAATTTGGTACAGATGGAATTGTGGGTGAACCGATAGAGTTGAAATCCTTAAATTTGGCTTTAGCCTCACTGTGTGGGTGAAGGTTTGGGTTAAGTAGGAAGTTTTGGAAATTCGTACTACTGTGTACTAAATTGGATTTAGAAATATTTGATTTGAAATTTGGATTTAGCATCACTGTGGGGGTGAAGGTTTGGTTTAAGTAGGACGTTTTGGAAATTCGTACTACAGTGTTCTAAATTTGGTACAATTTGAATTGTGGGCGGACCGATAGAGTTAAAATCCTGAAATTTGGATTTAGCATCACTGTGAGGGTGAAGGTTTGGGTTAAGTAAGAAGTTTTTGGAAGTTCGTACTACTGTGTACTAAATTTGGTACAATTTCTAGATTCTAACAATAGAGTTAGAATCTTCAAATTTAAATTTAGAATAATTATGGGGGTGTATGATCGGTGTATGGAGGAAGTTTTGTTGAATGGTTGAGGTGGGTACTTATGGAAATAATGTGTTATTAAAGGAACTAAATTTATTAAAATTTGGATTTGGGCTAACCTTTAGAGCTCGAATAGTGAAATTTAAGTACAGTCTAAAGGTCCAAATTTAATTTATGGTCGATATTAATGTGTGGATTGCTTAGTTTTTCTGACATATCTGCATATGTCATAAAAAATATGCTTGTATAGACATAAAATCTTATGAAATTTTTCTATAAACAGAAGAACTTCTTCTATGTACAGTCTAAAGGTCCACTGTGGTCAGAAGACATTCTAAGGGTCATCTGTAGTCAGAAGACCATCAAAAGGTCTTCTATGGTCAGAAGTACTTCAAAAACTTTTTTTAAAAATCCACGCCTCTGGTAGAACCTTAAAAAAGAGCTTTCAGAAATATTTTTAAAAATCCACGCCTCTGGTAGAACCTTAAAAAAGAGCTTTCAGAAATATTTTTAAAAAATCCACGCCTCTGATAGAACCTTAAAAAGAGCTTTCAGAAATATTTTTAAAAAATCCACGCCTGTTTTGGCTACTCAAATTTGTTTGGTGATAAAGATAATTACATCTGATTTTTAATTGAAACCATCTCAGTCCAATATACCTACTACAAAAACAACAAGGTATGTATATTTTTTTTACTAATGTTTTTATTCAATAAATTTCAAAAAACATTTCAATATTCTCCTCTAGTTTCTTAAAAATTAGACACGATTGGAGATCATTTTAATCATCCTCACTATTATGGGTTAATTTCACACACACACATACATACATGAACTTTTGTTTATTTATTTATTTTTTTGACCATGTAACGAATGTTGGGGATTTCTTGTACACAATTAAAAAACACTGAATTGGATGTAGATTATTTTTTTGGTCATCCATCCAATATTAAAAAACATTTACGTATTAAATTTACATTTATTTTTTTCAATTTATATTTACGACTAACAATTTTAATTTTATTTATTTTTGTTTTTTTTTTTATTTTTTCGTATAATTCCTTTCCCATTATGTACTTGCGCATTTGTTTGTGAATATAAATTTAAGGATTCTTATGTTGTTTTGATGAGGGATCGGGGTTAATCTAAATGTTTGAGATTTTTTATATATATGTATGTAAGTAATATATTAATTTTCAGTTCAGTTCAACATTTAGTTAATTTTGTTTTTGTCTTTTTTCTTCATCATCATTTTCTTAAAACTGGTGTTGTTTGTTTTTTTTTCATTTCCGCTTAATATTAAACCACAGTAAAATAAACTGAAAGGGAGTAACAGAATCAGTTATTTTACACGAAATGTAAATAAAAATGTTTTGAGTTTTATTGGAACAAAAATCTGGGTATAAATGAAAACAAATAAAAATTTTAATACACGAGGAGGGGTCCAACCACAAACATTTTTTTAAATTGAAACCAAACAATTTAAAAACATACATATTCAAAATACCTACCATAAGTCGGGACCTATGTCAAAACATGAATCTATATTGAACATTTTTTGCGAATAAGAACCTGAATTTATTTTTTGAAGACCCTATCGGAGGCGTGTATTTTTTAAAATCTACTTTTTTGAAGTCTCTATTAGAGGAGAGGTTTTTTTAATTATTTTGATAGGGTCTTCAAAGGCGTGGATTTTTGAAAAATACTTTTTGAAATATTCGCGGATTTTTGAAAAATATTTTTGAAGGATTCGTGGATTTTTTTGATAGCCCTATCAGAGGCGTGGATTTAAAAAAAATATTTTTGAAGGATTCGTGGATTTTTTTTGATAGCGAGAGGCCCTAAGAAGACCAAGGGGGTCTTCTTATAGAAGACCAAGGGGGTCTTCTTATAGAAGACCAAGGCGGTCTTCTTATAGAAGACCAAGGCGGTCTTCTTATAGAAGGCCAAGAGGTCATCTTATAGAAGACCAAGAGGTCATCTTATAGAAGACCAAGAGGTCATCTTATAGAAGACCAAGAGGTCTTCTTATAGATGACCAAGAGGTCTTCTTATAGAAGACCAAGAGGTCTTCTTATAGAAGACCAAGAGGTCATCTCCTAGAAGACCAAGAGGTCTTCTTATAGAAGTCCAAGAGGTCTTCTAATAGAAGACCAAGAGGTCTTCTTATAGAAGACCAAGAGGTCTTCTTATAGAAGACCAAGAGGTCTTCTTATAGAAGACCAAGAGGTCTTCTTATAGAAGACCAAGAGGTCATCTTATAGAAGACCAAGAGGTCATATAGAAGACCAAGAGGTCGTCTTATAGAAGACCAAGAGGTCATCTTATAGAAGACCAAGAGGTCTTCTTATAGAAGAGGTCTTCTTATAGAAGACCAAGAGGTCTTCTTATAGAAGACCAAGAGGTCATCTCCTAGAAGACCAAGAGGTCTTCTAATAGAAGACCAAGAGGTCTTCTTATAGAAGACCAAGAGGTCATCTTATAGAAGACCAAGAGGTCATATAGAAGACCAAGAGGTCGTCTTATAGAAGACCAAGAGGTCGTCTTATAGAAGACCAAGAGGTCGTCTTATAGAAGACCAAGAGGTCATATAGAAGACCAAGAGGTTTTCTTATAGAAGACCAAGAGGTTTTCTTATAGAAGACCAAGAGGTTTTCTTATAGAAGTCCAAGAGGTCTTCTAATAGAAGACCAAGAGGTCTTCTAATAGAAGACCAAGAGGTCTTCTAATAGAAGACCAAGAGGTCTTCTTATAGAAGACCAAGAGGTCTTCTTATAGAAGACCAAGAGGTCTTCTTATAGAAGACCAAGAGGTCTTCTTATAGAAGACCAAGAGGTCTTCTTATAGAAGACCAAGAGGTCTTCTTATAGAAGACCAAGAGGTCTTCTTATAGAAGACCAAGAGGTCTTCTTATAGAAGACCAAAAGCTCTTCTTATAGAAGACCTAAAGCTCTTCTTATAGAAGACCAAGAGGATATCTCATAGATGAGCAAAAGTTCTTCTTGAAGAAGAAATCAACCTATCGTATAAAAGGGTCAAAAGGGTTATCTTATAGAACACCAAGAGGTCTTCTTGTAGAAGAACAAGTGGTCTTCTTATAGAAGAGCAAGTGGTCTTCTTATAGAAGAGCAAGTGGTCTTCTTATAGAAGAGCAAGTGGTCTTCTTATAGAAGAGCAAGTGGTCTTCTTATAGAAGAGCAACTGGTCTTCTTATAGAAGAGCAAGTGGTATAGAAGAGCAAGTGGTCTTCTTATAGAAGAGCAACTGGTCTTCTTATAGAAGAGCAAGTGGTCTTCTTCAAGAAGCGCAAGTGGTCTTCTTATAGAAGAAATCAAGTGGTCTTCTTATAAAGAGCAAGTGGTCTTCTTATAGAAAAGCAAGTGGTCTTCTTATAAAGAAGAGCAAGTGGTCTTCTTATAGAAGAGCAAGTGGTCTTCTTATAGAAGAGCAAGTGGTCTTCTTATAGAAGAGCAAGTGGTCTTCTTATAGAAGAGCAAGTGGTCTTCTTATAGAAGAGCAAGTGGTCTTCTTATAGAAGAGCAAGTGGTCTTATAGAAGAGCAAGTGGTCTTCTTATAGAAGAGCAAGTGGTCTTCTTATAGAAGAGCAACAGGTATTTTCCAAGAAGACCAAGAGGTCTTCTTATAGAAGGCCTGGAGGGTATTCTTATAGAAGACCAAGAGGGTCTTTTTATAGAAAACTAAGAACGAAGAGGTCTTCTCATGGAAAACCAAAGGGTATTTTCATAGAAAACCAAAGGGTATTTTCATAGAAGACCAAGAAGTCTTCTTATAGAAGACCAAGTGGTCCTCTTATAGAAGACCAAGAGGTGTTATTGTGTGAAAGATCAATAGGTATTCTTATAGAAGACCAAGAGGGTATTCCTATAGAAGACCAAAAGGGTCTTCTTAGAGGTTTTTAATAGAAGAGGTCTTTAATAGAAGAGGTATTTTATGTAAAACCAAGGGGTATTCTTATTGAGGGCCAGAAGAAGAACTTCTTCATAGAAAATTCAAAAGTTTTATATTCGATTAGAATTACAATATCTTCAAAAGTAACAAATTAAACAAACAAAATTCACACTTGGACACAGGCAATGTATTGTATTCCATTTATTGCAGGGTAAATAGACAAGGGTTGCTATAATACATTTCATTCTATAGGAAAATTAGATTGAAGTCCAAAAAGGAAAAGAAAATTACAAACTACAACAAAATTTCGAAATAACTTAGAGTTAGCAATAGATTAAACTACTAGGACATGAAGTAATAATTCTGGGGAACAAAAAATTTATATTGGTAATTATTTAAATAATTCATAATTGTTTTTGTAAATTTTATCTAAATAATAATTAAAAATTCCTTAATGAAATACTGTTGTTTATAAATTAAACTAAAGCTAATTAAAAAATATATAAACAGAAAAAAACGAACGAACGAATAGACTAAATTTTATAATATTCAATTGCAGGGGGAAATAGAAAATTGGCTTTTGGTTTAAAAAATCAAAAGCAGGTTTTTTGGTAGAGTTTGGGGATGAGGTGTCTGTGGGTATATGATTTCCATTTCCCACACACACAGACAATTGAATATACATTTTGCTACTAAATTACATAAATGTTTTATAAATATATTTGATATTTATATTTTACAATTATATAATTAAATTAAATATGAATAGAGGTTGATTTTACATTTTGGAATTTGAAGCTTTGTGGTTGGTTGGTGTATTTTCTTAGGGCAAAATTTAAATATAAAAAAAATGAATAAATTTTGAAATCAAAAAATATTTTACGAGAGATTTTACAAATTTGGCATATAGGGTTAGGTGTCGAAAGTCACATAATGTTCGACATAACCCTTTAATTTTTTACTTTAATATTTTTAACTTTAATTTGGTTTTAATTTCCAAACCCAAAATGAAGTAAAAACCCCAAAAATAACAAGAAAACAAAGCATAATAAACATATTTTATATTAGCACTCCTTTAGCTTTTCCATGCGCAGATTGATGGATATCTTAAACTTAAAACCAATTTGTTTTGCCATCGTTGTCATCGATGGTTGCGACGAAGTTGGCGGCAACGGCGGCTACGACTACTCCAATTCCAGCTACTCCATCATCATCACCAGCTTATTCAACTTTCTTTTTCAGTTTATTCTTGAGAAGACCCGGCACCAACGAAAGACAAGCACACAGCGACAATATACCCATTGACGTCCACGAGAAGGCATCACTGGAACTGGTCATCTTCTGCAGAGTTTTTCCCGCCTGTATGGCCAATACTGATGGTGGGGCGACACCACAAAATGTACCAAAAGCAAAAGTGAACAATGGCACTCCAATTACCGGTGAAGCCAGATTGATGAACCAATTCGGTAAGATCGGAGTCATACGCAAGAAAAGCATATAATTGAAGAGGCTATCACGATGTTTATCGACATGCTTAGACCATTCACTGATTTTCTTTGGCCAAAAATGACGAATTAAACGACGTCCCACTAAATTCGATAGACTATAGCAGAGAGTGGCGCCCAACGATGAACAGAAGCATATGAGGAATAGGGCGATGGGAAAACGATAGAGGAATCCCAAGAGAATCGAGAGAAATAATGATCCTGGAATGGCAAATGTTTGTAGGCTGAAAAGAGAGAGAGAGAGTCGATTTTGCATCGAGTTTTTGGGGTTAAGGAGAAAACCATGTCATTTATTTTGGGGGAAGTATTAGAGAATAACTGAAAATAAATCGTTTAAAAATTAATTTTTTTATAAAGATCATTAAAAAGGTATTTCAGAATTAGATACGTCACATGGTACCGGTATTACTTCTAGCATTAAATCCATATGATTTTAGTTAATCCCTCAAAGCCCACACAGTTTTCTAATTATATGAGACAAGAGTCTTGTTTTAGAAGATGGGCGAAGCCCAGGCTTATCTTGGTCCCTCTTTCATCTCAATTGTGGTAACTATTTTCATCATCCATTGAAATAGTGAGCTGATATGTGGATTGAGGCGTCGGTTTAATTCCCCACACTCGGAAAACCCCTCTTACTATGAAAAAGCAACGGCGGAAAATTCAGCCTTCATGAAGAAACATCCGACAATGGCATGAGGTTGATTGACTTCGCGTCAGCAAAAAACATGGTCGTTAGCAGCATCAGATTCAAGCATTTCGATATACGCAAGGCCACCTGGATTTATCCTGATCAAGTAACGTGAAATCAAATCGATCATGTTGTGATAGACGGAAGGCATTCGTCCAGTTTTTTAGACGTTCGATCAATACGAGAAACGAATATCGATTCGGACATTTCCTTGTGGCAGCCAAGGTTCGCACCCATCTTAATGTAGCAGCAAAGGTGCGATCTAATGTAATACGGAAATTTGACGTCGAAAGCTGCAAACACAACAGATAGCAGAAGCCTACTCCGGCCAACTTACCCAACTGCTTGACAAAAGCACTTCTTGTCCCGATAATAATATAGAAGCACAATGGCTAAGAATTGCCGACTCTCTACAAACTGCAGCAAAAGTAACACTTGGGTACCAAAAACCTCCATCAAGAAACCCATGGTATGATCAGGAGTGTCGCTACTGATCTGAAAAACGCAGCGTATAGGGCAACCCTGCAGACGGTAGCAACACGTAATGTGATGGAGAATTATCGGGAGATAAGGAGAGAGGAGAAACGTGTTTTCAGAAACAAGAATAAAGAACAAGAAAAACGTGAGCGGGATCAAATCGAGATGTAAAGGAGTCAGCATGAAGTCCGGAAATTTTACCAACGAGTAAAACACCAAACTTAAGGTTTTGGTGCAGGCACATCAGGAGCATGTACCAGCTGATTAGTGCAATTTGGTTAGAGGAATCCATGCCTAATGATTGGAAAACAAGAAATAGGTGCCAATTACAGAGGAATAAGTATATAAAGTGCTATCCAGCGTGCTGTGTGATCGACGGAAGCCAATGGTCAATGGCACTATTGGACCATGCCAATGCGGCTTCAGACCTGGCAAATCCATCATTGACCAGATTTTCATTCTGAGCCAAATCCTGGAAAAGACCCTGGAAAAACACATCGACACATTGCACCTATTTGTCGACTATAAAGCCGCATTCGACAGCCCTATCCGTTCAGAGGTGTTTAAAGCCATGTCTGCGTTTGGAATTCCTACAAAATTAATTCGGCTAAGCAGGATAACTTTAACTGTCACAATATCAGCAGTTAAACACGGAAAGAACCTCTCGGAGCCCTTCAATACCGAACCAGGATACAGATAAGGTGACAGTTTGTAATGGTACCTTTTTAACATCCTGCTGGAAAAGGTCATACGAGAGGCAAATATGAATAGAAATGACACTCTGTACAACAAGCAACACATGTTTCTCGCATACGATGACATAGTGGGTCGAACATTGAGCTGTTCCGCAGCCACCTTTGAACAAATTGAGAAGGAGTCTGCCAAAGTGGGTCTGGCAGTAAACGGAGAGAAGAATAAGCTGATAATACCAACGCGTAAGCCGTCGAGTTTACTCAGATCAACTGAGGAACATGAGAACTACAGCTTCGTGGTTGTCAAAGATTTTATATACATTTTTATCGCCATTAATAAATCCAATGACATCAGTTTTGAAATTCGGAGAAGGATAGTGTTGGCCAACAGATGCTACTATGGTCTGGGCAAGCAACTCAAAAGCAAGGCCACCTCCCGCCAGACCAAACTCACACTCTACAATGCGCTGGTACAATACCTGGTACTTTCAATGCAGATGAGGCAGCTCTTGGAGAGTTTGAGAGAAAAATTCTCCGGAAGATCTATGGGCTGATCTGTGTCGATGGTGAATATCGGTGTCGAATGAACTATGAGCTATACCATCTATTCTCGGACATCGGCACTGTTAGACTATTGAGATGCAGCGACTACGTTGGCTAGGTCATGTTGTGAGAATGGATGAAGATGCCCCAGCCCAGAAGGCATTTAAAAGCGAACCAGCTGATGGTTCTCGCAGAAGGGGAAGGCCACGAATACGATGGAAACATCAAATTGGATGAGATGCGCACAAGACCGACGCGCCTGAAAATATTTTTTAAGCTCGGCTTATGGAGCAACCGTTCTGTCATAAGCCAGCTAAGTAAGTACCAAAAGGTGTGGACCCATAATCGAAATTGTACAAAATTTGGAAGAAATATTACGATGAGCAAAGTTGGGATGAAATTGGTTACTATCTTCCAGAGTTATCGGGCGCATCATCAGGCCAGACAGACGGACATTTGTAAATCGACTCCAGATTGTCTGAAACGGATTTCTATGGGCCACATTTTTGCCGTAGGAGGGTATAAAAAATTCATATTATCGTAATTTGAATAAAGTTCAAGAGAGAAGTACAAAAAGGTCAATCAAGAAATGTAGTTTAAAGAACGAAGTATTCCCAAAAAATCTCTCCTTCGATTTGACTCATAAGACTTACATGCCACAAATAAATTGTTGTAGCAGGAAACAACATAGTAGATTTATGTTCATGCCGGATCGCCAGCAAGAAATCAAATAACTTGAACTCTATGGTGAATTTGGCCTTATGAGGTTCTTTTTACACTCACCAAGGTATTTCATACCCAAAAATAATCCGCCATTCCCTATCCTATGAGTTTCATTTAGTTGCATAGTGTTATTTACTCTGTCTAGACTATCAAATTAAAATCCAATTTATTTTCGACGGGGCAATAACCATCAACACACCGTCGTCAACTACAAATGTGAACTATTGCAAGTCGGTCATAAAATACAAAAACAATTTGTTTGTGCAATTTCATTTAGTATACTACTGTTTAATATTTCTATTGATAAGATTAAACAAATTAATTCAATCTATGTTTGTATATTGGAAAGATTCCCACCATAGCATCTCGCACTCTAACACCTCTAGCCAATAAAAAAGGTAAAATTGTTGATAGGCATCAGGTAAACTTCCTAGATGATTATACGGAACTTATTGTTAGGAATGAATACCACAAAAACATAATTATAATAACATAAATTTTAAATATAATCAAAAACTAAAATTAGTAGTTAATAAAAATAGTGAAACCCCATCATAACGTATCTCATATCCGTTTTAAATAAATATAAAAAATAATGTGCGTTTTAATGTAAAAAAACAGTCATATCGTTTCTGTGTAAATCCCCTGAATACAAATATTAATTGCATTTGCAAGAAAATATTAATAATTTGTTATTTTTTTCTTAGTATTCATGATCGACTGACCGACTGGTTGCTTGGTTGGCTCACTGAGTGCATTCTCGTTACTAAGAGCTATTGCTTTTAAAATTGTTCGTGACACAGCTTTAATTGGAAATAAATATAAACACATATACAGTGTATACACGTAAGATCTATACTGTGGGGAATTTTTCAATATTCTTTTGTTTGTTTGGTGTTCTTTTTTCGGATGCATTCCTTTGGAATATAAATTGTCTTGTTGCCATTGCGAAATTTATTTTTTTATTATTAATTTCCTTGTGAGTCCGTTTAAATGTTTAGATTCTTAATAGCATTTTATATGTGTGATATGGCAAAAGGAATTAAAAAAACACCCAACATTAGGTTAGATTTAAAAAAAGGGGGCGATGAATTAATGCCACCTCATGCCCAGCAGGGCAATTCGACTTAGCATTTTTACTATATTGCCAATTTTTTCATAGATTCATTCGATATCGGAAACAGTTGCATGAAGTTATTATCAAATTTCTACAATTACAGCTATACTGCAGTATGTATCATAAAACCGTGCGTAAGAATTGAGACTATCCTGAACATAGTTGACCAAAAGCCTCTCTGGTTTGTGTTGAAAATGCAAAAGGAATTAAAGAGACCCATAATTAGGTTCGTCTGAAACAGGGTTGGTTTAATGAAATGCTTCAGGACAGTTGGACATACACAGATAAGCTAGTCAAAGTCTGTTGTACTCTCTAAGAAATGGAAAAGTTAGGAGAAAGCATGAGATTGGTATCCCTTTACACTTCTAGAAATTTTGTATTCTAAATGAAGTCCTTCAGTCTTTTCCATTCACATCATCTTTCATAACCTTAATTAGCTGGCTTGTGGCAGGATATTTGTTTCATAAGGCTAGCTTAAAAAAGATTTCCAAGCATGTCGGTCTTGTGCGCAGCTCATCCAATATGAAAGATCATGTTCCGATATGTTGATTTCCACTTGATCTTTTCATCGGATTCGTAGTCTTTTCATTCTGCGTGAACCATCAGCTGGTTCGCTTTTATATGCCTTTTGTGGTGGGGCATCCTCATCCATTCGCACAACATGACATAGCCAACGTAGTCACTGCAGCTTGGTACGTCTGACAATGACTCATGATTCGTTCGACGGCGACATTTAACGTCAACGCAGATCGCACATAGATCGTCTGCAGAATTTTTCTCTGAAGCAGTAAGTTTGGTCTAGAATTGCTTACTCAGATCATAGTAGCATCTGTTAGCCAACACTATCCTTTTCCGAATTTCAAAGCTGATGTTATTAGTTTTGCCTATGGCGGTACTACCTCGAAGCTGTAGTTCTCAAGTTCCACAGTTGGTCCGAGTCGACTGGACTTGGTCTTGAGAGTTGATACCATCAGCTTGGTCTTCTCGCCGTTTACTGTCTGACCCACTTTGGCAGACTCCTTCTCAATTCGTTCAAATGTGACTGTTACCGCTCGCAATGTTCGAGTCATTATGTCGATGTCGTCGGCCAGTAACATATGCTGTTTGGTGTACAGAGAACCATACTTTTCCACATTTGCATATTGTGTGACCTTTTCCAGCAGGATGAGGTCACACGACAAACTGTCGTCTTGTCTGAATACTAGTTCGGTATTAAAGGGCTACGATAGTTCCATTACGAGTTTAACTGCTGACCTTGTGCCATTTAAAGTTATCCTGCATAGCCGTATTAATTTTGCAGGAATGTCGACCTGGTTTTAAACACCTCTGAGCGGATAATGCGGCTTTATAGTCGACGAATAGGTGGAATGTTTCAATGTGTTTTTCGTGGGTCCTTTCCAGAATTTGGCGGAGATTGAACATCTGATCAATATTTGCCAGGTCTTAAGCCGAATTGATATGGTCCAATAAGGTAATTGACTATTTGCTTCAGTCATTCACACGCACATCATATGCGATAAGGAGGAGAATAATTCCTCTATAGTTGGCCCACATTGTCTTGTCTCCTTTTTTTCACGGGACACAGAATGCTGAGGTTCCAATCATTTGACATGTATTCCTCAAGGCTAATTGTACTAATCAATTGCTGCATGCTTATGATCAGCGTCGATCACCGGTCTTGAATAGTTCAGCTGGTAATCCATTGGCACCTGCTGCTTTATTATTCTTCAGCCGATTGATAGCTATTCTGACCTCATCTTGGCTATGTGGTATACACTCTATACTGTCATCTCTTATTGGCTGCGGGGTATCTTTTTTATCGCCCTATTTGATACCAGAAGCATTTCAAAATGCTCCTTCCAGATCCTACATGCTGTCTGTATCTGCCACCAGGTTTCCTTCTTTATCTCTACAGGAGAATGTGCCTGTCTCTAGAGTTTGGCTGTTCCATAAAAGTGCAGTGAACAAAGTGACTAAGTAAAACATGTACTGAATAATTTCCTCACACTCCGAATAATCCATAAATGATCTGTCAATAAATTTAAATAAATAAATAAATAAAGGGATTTAAAAAACTAATTGATTTTGAGTGAATCATCCATCTGATACCGATGTAGACGTGACGGAAACAAATATGAACTGTTTTCACAAATAAACACAAAAGAAAACAAGTTTTCTTGGGTTGGAATCAGGTGATCGTGTTATGTACGTAAGAATCTCCATGTTGTCTGCAATTAGACAAAAGACATTTGATAAAAAAAAATTAGCTGCATTCTTATAAAAATAGAATGCAAATATTACGCTTGACTGAAAGTAATATGCGAGACAGAGAGGCGTCATCATTACGTTTTTGGATATATATTTACAAAGACAAAGAAACAAAGAGGTCTTTATTTAGACCAAGGGTAGGGTCGTTATATACACAAATTGATCTGTTTATAGACTATTGATCGTTATATACATCACTGAAGTTTATACAGAACAATTGGTCTGTGTAGATAGAATATAGGTTTTATATAGACCAATTGGCGGATATAAAGAGACCTCAGGTCTTTATATAGACCAATTTGTCTGTATAGATAGACTACAGGTCTTTTATATAGCCCAATTTGACCTGTATATATACCAATTGGTCTATGTAGAGAGACCAATTGGTTTGTATAGAAAGACCACAGGTCCTAATATACACCAAATGATCTGTATTGATGCTGCTGGATCTTTATATAGACCAACTGATATTATTTTTTTATTTCAAAATGTCCTTTTTTATTTAAGAGAAATATTAATATATGTTATCGAACCAAATACAGACATAAGAACCACAATACGTCCTGATACTAAAAACAATCCAAATTAATAACTATTATTTCCAAAAAATGACGAATAAATAATTCAATTCAACATAAGCCATCTATTTACCGCAAATCATTCAAATTCAAAGCCGACGAACGCCTTGGCGCTTTAATTGTGCGTGTAATACACAAGAACAATCAACGGCAGTGTCATTATAAGACACCTTTAAGAGTGGTCGATAGACAGATAGAGAGAGAGGGAGAGAATGACACCCAACTATATTGTGGATGAAGATAATAACAATGCAAATAATAGCAACACCTCCACCACCCCCACTTCATTCTTTCTCCCATTTGTATCGAGAGTATTAGGTTTCTACGGTAGCTCCAACAACAACAATAGTAACCTGTAATTGACGTCAGTCATTCAACGTGTGATTTGCAAACGTAATTGAATTACTTACTGTACTGCAAAGTTAGGCACGAACAAAATAATAGCCGTACACGCACCCACACACACCATAAATAAAAAAGAGATCAAGGTTAATTTAATATGCCAAAATACAACAACGATTTTAAAACCATTTTTAAATAAATAAAACCTAATAAAACAAACAGAAAATACAAAAAGAAAAAGAAGAAGAAATTATTCTAAAGACTTACGAAAGAAAAGACAGATAAACAAAAAACGGATTAGATAGATGAATTGGCTATAATTGCTTATTGATTTAATTGGCCTCCGAGTCAAGTGAATGGGAACGATAATAAATGAATAAATAAATAGGTATCAACTGATATGGTAGTCAACCACTGTTTATGGGTGGGTGGGGTGTGTGTGCTTTAATAGTTAGAAAAAAATTACTACCTTATCTGGGATATCGTTGTTATGTTATGAATTTGTTGTAAAAATATTCAAGGTTATGATCAAAGGTGTTTGGCCGATGTGACATCTGTTTTTTTATTGTAATGTATAGTTGTTGTTGGCTTTTGTTTTTGGCAAATTGGTATGTGCCGCTCTAGAATTTACAATTAAGGAATTGTTCTTTTGTAAACAACAATTGACTATGTAATTTTTGTTTGTAAATATTTTGAATTGAAGTATACAATAAATTATTCAGAATGGTGAATAGAAAAAAATTTATATAAAAATTGGATCTCGTTTTAAAAAAAATTATCCAGGGATACAGTTCACCCACGATAAAATAAACTAAAGGGGACCAGAGAAAAGCGTGAAAATTATTGAAAGGGATTTTTAAATATTTTTTCCCAACGTCTGATATTTTGGGAGGGTCTAACGGCAAGTGTTGTTTTTTTCGAGGCTAATAGACGAGGAGGATTTTTAAAAAATATTTTTGGAGGCTCATAAACAGTCGTGGAGCGAGCTTTTTCTTAGATGCCATAGGTCGAATGTTGCTTTCCTATTTATTATGAAGCAAACATCCGATCATTTAGTTTAAAAATCAAAATTATTGTAAAGTACCGTATACAATTAGCTATAGCCCAGCAATTAATTTAAGTTTCCATTTGGATTCTTAATATTCCATTCTGCCCTTCGACATTTAAAATACCTTCTTAATGATCTTCATTAATTAAATACTATTTACAGGTTTTGCTGTTTTTTCGTAGATTGTTTTGAAAAGGATACAATATATAGGCGACAACGACACCGAACATCACTTCAAAATAGTACATGTCCTTGTAGCGATCTAAGACTTTGGCCAACATTTTGGCATCTTGTATATCACGTGGTATTTTGATGTGTTGTTTTTCAGACCTGCAATGAAAGAAACAAGAAAACAATAATTAGAAAAAATTACAACAACAAAAGCAATTATATTAAAAAAAGCACAAAATATCTACATGAAAATAATTAACATGATTAATTAATGTGTTAATAAGATTTGTTTACATGTTGAAAATGGCGCGCAAACAACTAATACAGAGAAAAGACGCCTACGGCATGACATGAGAATGACAATAAGAGCGGCACAGCCTTTCTCAACATGTCATGTCGAGTGAGATAGGTGTGAAATTGAGGGGAGAGAGGATTTCATTTCCGTTAATGGTGACAATAAAATCAAAGAAAAAATATATCACATAAATATAATTATTAAGGGAACCCCCCATTCTCGATTTTAATTTTTCAAGATTTTCAATGGGCTGGTAAATCAATACCAATGCTTGTTAAGGTTTGTAACTTTACACATATATAATTGAAGATTTAAAATAGAAGAAAAATAATTTACAAAAAATGTTTGTTGTTGTTTTGTTGTTGTTTTCTGTAATTAAAGAAAAATCCTTATTTTTGATGGAGTGGGCATGATAACTCCTCACTGGAACATCGGAATCCGAAAATTCCAACGGTGTTAGAAAGAGTACATGTCTGGCTCTCGTATGAACTAGGATTATTGACTTCGCTATAAATTATTAAGGGAACCCCCCATTCTCGATTTTAATTTTTCAAGATTTTCAATGGGCTGGTAAATCAATACCAATGCTTGTTAAGGTTTGTAACTTTACACATATATAATTGAAGATTTAAAATAGAAGAAAAATAATTTACAACAAAATTTTGTTGTTGTTTTCTGTAATTAAAGAAAAGTCCTTATTTTTGATGGCGGGCATGATAACTCCTCACTGGAACATCGGAATCCGAAAATTCCAACGGTGTTAGAAAGAGTACATGTCTGGCTCTCGTATGAACTAGGATTATTGACTTCGCTCTAAAATTAACAAAATGGCGGACCTTTGAAAAAATATTTTTGGAAAATCGCCAATTTTTTACCAAAACCAAAGTTAAAAAATAAGGAAGATCTTCACCGATTGGCTTTATCCTAGTTCATACGATAGCTATACACTCACAGAGAAACGTGTAAAAATTTGAAATCGATTGGGTTATTAGTTTTTGAGTTATCGTGCCCGCCATTCACAAAAAATGTTTAGAGAAAAACGCGTTTAAAGTTTGAGAAGCCCTTCAGCCGTCACTTGATGCTGACACAATAAATCGGCTATATCTTCAAGAGTTCTTGAGATTTTCATTTGAAAATTTGTAGGGACATTCTTTAATTAGTGTAGATTCCAATTATATCAACAAAATTTTTGACCCCGAGAATGGGGGGGGGTCCCCTTAATCTAATATTTTTTACGGAAATGCAGAAAATTTTGTTGTTATATAACTTCCAAAAGATTTTTTAAGTGAAAAATTAAAGAGTTTTAATAAATAATAGTCTTAATGTGTCAATTGATAGATGACGACAACATGACATGAGAAAGGATTACACTGTTGTCATTTGAGATATGAGAGAGAGTTTATTGGCTCATTGTCAAGAGCCATGAAATTTGAGTCGTGAAATTGGAAAAAACGGGCCTGGATATTTAAAAATATTTATGGACCCTCATATACAGGCGTGGACTTTTTAAAATTAATTTTTGGGGCTCGTAAAGAGGCGTGGATTTTAAAAATATTTTTGGAGGCTCATAGAGAGGCGTGGATATTTAAAAACTCATTTTGAAGGCCCATAGAGAGGCGTGGATATTTAAAAACTCATTTTGAAGGCTCATAGAGAGGCGTGGATATTTAAAAAACTCATTTTGAAGGCTCATAGAGAGGCGTGGATATTTAAAAAACTCATTTTGAAGGCTCATAGAGAGGCGTGATATTTAAAAACTCATTTTGAAGGTTCATAGTGTATTTTTTAAAATCAAATCTGGAGGCATCATATAGAGGCGTGAATTTTTTTAAAATTAATTGTTGAATCATTTTTGAATTCTTTAAAATTAATTGTTGAACCATTTTTGGATTCTTTAAAATTAATTGTTGAACCATTTTTGGATTCTTAAAAATTGTTGAACCGGTTCATAAGGTTCATAAGAGCAGTGGATTTTTCATATTAATTTCTAAATATTTTAAAAATAATTTGTGCGGCTCATAGACAGACTTATTTTTTTTTTTTTTTTTTTTTTTTTTTTTTGTATATTTTTAATTAAAAATGCAAAAATTTTCCCATTAATCCACAAATAAATTCGCTTCAAATTTAATCATTAAATAATAGCAATGATGGCCAAGCCGTCATTATTTACTCTCTTAGATTACAATCTGTGAGAGTGAAACTTTACTCTCTGTCATCATCATTGTGTAACATGAACTCTGTACTGTGATTGTATGTCAGTGATAAAAGGCGCGCACACTAGACGCAGAGAAAGCAAATTGACATTATGAAGACTGTCATTATTTATCATCTTATGTCACATGTGAGATAGATAGAAATAGAGAGCATTATTTTCCGTTAATATGGGAATTATTGATAATGTAATATATATTGTTCTCGTAAAATAAAAAGCGAAGCAAACAATTTCCTTATTGATTTAGAAATTATGTAAATCCTTTAAATTAAATAATAGCAATAATTATCAATGTCTCATCATTTACTCTGTGATCTCACAATTTGCTGAGAGTGAAACTTTACTCTCGTCGCCGGCAAAAAATGTGTAACAAGACCTCTGTACTGCTGCTGACATTGCTGCCCGTCTGTCCCTCGAGTCTGTGCTGTATTCATTTGTTCATTAAAACGAAAAAAAACAGATTTAATTGATAATTGTGTTTGGCTTTTGTTACAACAAAAGTAGTTGTTATTTTTTAATGCTATAATGTTCACGCGATTAGGAAATGCTCGTTTAAAATAAAAGCGAGTGTATTTTTTTTATTAAACAATCACTATTTAAAAAAATATAGTACATTAACTAAGTGTGTATGTCATTGGTCCAACCAAGGAGATGTAATAGGTTGGGTCGTGACAAAAAAATATAAGAAAATTTTGACTTTATTATTAATGTATGATAATTAGGTAATATATTAAAAAAAATAAGAATTGTATTAATTCGCTCTTGTGAAAAATGCATTGAGTATTGAAAAGGAAATTAATTTTTGCATTTAATCTAATAGTGTATCCTCTTGTAATTACACACTCTTTTTAATTTGTCAAGATCTTATCTTTCACATGCCAAATAAAAAAAATGAAAGAGACGTACTCGTACATCACGCCACACTCAACTATCTGTAAAATGAAAATTAAATGTATTATATACATATATTTTATTTTAAATGTATTTCGATGTAGCGCTATTGTCTTGTTAATTTAACACTTCACCCTGTCCTCACCCACCACATTATATTATAACAATTTACAAATTATCGAGACAGTAATAACGAAAAAAGAAGAAGAAAAAAAAGACAATTGACATAAAAACAACTCTCCACGCCATGTTGACAATTGAACTTGAACCATTTTCGCCGGGTGGGTGTGTAGTGGGAGGGAAATAAGAGGCGTTACAAAAAAACTTTCCCGTGACAAAGTAAAGAAAAGTATTAATTAATTTAAGTATTTATTATATGATTATATAATAACCACAGACATACACCGTCATCGAGAATCATTTTTACGCTACATATTTTGCAAAGGTAGATCTGGATAAAGGTGTGTATTTTTTAAACAATATTTTTAGAGGTTCATAGATTCTTTAAAAATATTTAAAGGATATCTTGAAAAATGTCCCCCTTTTATCAGAACTACAAAATGTTAATCAGTTGTTGATTTGCCCTTGAACAATATTTTCAAAATTTCTTAATCACAAATTCTTGCCCTCATGATTTCGAAATACATATGAAGAAGAACAAGCAAACATGAATTTTGTATTTAACCAACGTGTAAACACAATTAATAACATTGAAATTTTGCAATATTTTCCGTTACACGATTTTGATTTCGAAATTAATAATATTTCATGTCATTAAAAAATGAAATTGCATATTTTTGTTGGTTATTGCATGTCACACGTATGCCGTTTTGATTTCTACTTCTGTGGCAAATATCCCTTTACCTTTATTCGTTTTCCCCCCAGCACAAATAAAATGCCAATCAATTTAAGAGAAATATATATTCAAACAGATGTTTGAACAGAAAACACTGCAAAATTTGACATCTTTTCAGTTGAATATTTTCCGCGCCTGATGTGATTTTTCTTTCGCCTAATTGGGGTGGTACAATGTTCAGTACAGTTGGTTCGAAATAAATGGAATTTTGGGAGGGGAAATTTTAAATTTTTCTTTTTTCTGAGGGACTCTCAACAAGCGTGGATTTTTATAAAAATAATTTTTAGAGACTCTGGATTTTTTAAAAATATTTTTTTAGAGGCTATGGATTTTTTAAAAACTATTTTTAGAGGCTCTACTTATTTACTTAGCTGGCTTGTGACAGAACTTTCGTTCCATAAGCCGAGCTTAGAAAAGATTTCCAGGCGCGTCGGTCTTTTTCGCAGTTTTTCCAATTTGAAAGATCATTTTCGGCGATGTGGTCTTCGACTTGATCTTTCCAACGTATTCTTGTGAACAATCAGTTGGTTCGTTTTTATATGCCTTCTGCGCTGGGGCATCTTCATCCATTCTCTTCGTGGATTTTTCCAGGATTTGGCACAGTGATCTTTCCAACGTATTCTTGGCCTTCCCCTTCTGTGTGAACAATCAGCTGGTTCGCTTTTATATGCCTTCTGGGCTGGGGCATCTTCATCCATTCCCTTCGTGGGTTTTTTCCAGGATTTGGCGCAGAGTGAAAATCTGGTCAATGGTGGATTTGCCAGGTCTGAAGCCACATTGGTATGGCCCAATAATGTCATTGACCATTGGCTTCAGTCTTTCACACAGTACGCTGGGAAGGAGACTTATTCCAT